GGTTGCAGTTTTTCTACTGTTCTCTGCAATGCCATGGAAAGATTTCATTTTCACTTATGACTATGAATATACGGGGGGGTTCTTTCTTAGAAACCAAAACAGGAAAAAAAAAAGATGAGGGTGAAAATTTATGAATGGGCTCAAGAAGATCAAAATATATTGCCACCGCTCCAATTTTCAATGTCCTTGGATTCTGCTTCTACGTTTTTTTGTTTTTTTTTTGTTTTTTCAACGTTTGTCGTTAATAAAGTTAGACAAGTCCTTTTTTTTCTTTTTTTTTTTTACCGTATCTATACTTATGGCGAGCAGATTCTGCACCTGCTGCAGATTCTGCAGAACGCGTTCATCCCTACGTCCCCACTCATTCAGCGTCCCGTACATAAATAAAAAATAATTAAACAATACAATAACATTAAAAATCTGAGAGACTCGGACTCAAGGTCGCAGCAGAAAACAAAAAAAAAATCCCCAAATATAAAATTTTGCGAAACTCTATTCTTCTTCCTGTTTCTTTTTTTTATAAAAGTTTTTAAATGTCTTTTTGTGCTTTTGGGAAGAAACAACTTGTATTACGGAAGGAAACCGTTCCACGAGGCGTTTTTTTAATTATTTTTTCAAAAAACTTGAAAAAAAGCATCAGCTTTCTTCATTGCAAGGAGGCAGTTTCGGAGAAAACAAATTTCATTACGTAATAAATTAATAATAATAAACGAATTCCACAACGCCACCAGGGACCTCATCCCCTCACAAAAATCATCGCTCCCCCCCACAGAGAGAGAAAAAAAAAATACTGGGGCCATTACCCAGTTTCTTCTTCTTCTTCTTTTTTTTTTAACCAGTTTTGGCTTGTGCTGGAAACCGCGTCCAGCAGCGTCCCTTCTGCAGTCTGCTGTAATCGCAGCCGCGAATCTCCAAAACTGAATCAACCTCAACCATCCCCTATCCCTTTCCCTTTTCAACCCTTCCACCAAGCAGGATTGCAATCTCAACCGCCTCTACAAATGGTCGGTCTATCTCGACCCCAACACACTCCCTACTCCCTCCCATCTCATCGCAGCCGCTTTCTCCCATCCCGTCCGCCTATCCCGACCCATCTTCTTTCAGCTGATAAGACTCCACGCACCCCTCTGCACGGTCTCTTCCAAGCTGCTCCCCCCTCCTCTGTCGCCATGCTCTCCAACACCCTCCTCCCTACTCTCATCCCCTCCCCTCCCCTTCCCTCCCC